TGAGTTTTTCTTTTCTTTTTTTTATGCTGTAGGAACCCACCGACATTCCCTTTGTGTGTCATCTGTGAGAAGTAACTTTCACCTGAACCTCTTTCCGCAAACCGCTGCTCTGTGGAATCAACTCCCAAGAAACGTAGAGAAAGATCAAAACCACCAAAAACTATATGAAACTCACTTTTATACATACAAAATAAAGTATCTGTCTATATCTCTGAAATGAGGTATTATGTACATTATATACATTATTCGGACTATTGTCATCATCTTTGACGCCATAATTATTACAAAGTTTCGACCGTTGTAGTTTTTCAAGTTTGCCAAACTGTTCGACATTTTTTTACTATAAAATGTATTGCTGGTTATTTCAATATAAAATATATTGTTTGTAAATTTTTTACTAAAATTATTACTGGCAATTTCACTACATAAACTGTATTTTGATACTTTCTTAATGTTTTGATATTTTGTTTGGTGGTTGACTATTTGCACATAGCTAGGATCCCAACTGGTGTTACCACGCTAGGCTAAGGAGGTATCAATATTTACATTTTCCGACTAATTATTTACCTTATTTGTATTCAGATTAAAGTCCTCTTTTTTTATCAGTCCTCCAATATGGTAGTGAACGTGGTACAATCTCCTCGTAGATGAAGAAAAGAATTGAAACAATAGATATGCTGTTCTACAGAAGGATGCTGAGAATACAAAGAGTTGAACATGAACCACGTCGATGTTTTCGAGAAAATAGAAGTAAAAAAAAAACATTCTTATACTTAACATCATAAGAAACAGTTGAAAACTCTAGGTCACACAATGAGGAAAGAAGGCTTGGAAAATTTGATAGTCACAGGACAGATTGATGGCCACGAAGGAAAACAAAACTATAAATGGATGGCGGAACAGGGTTTCGGAGTGGTAGTTAAAAGACAAGATTTATTAAGGGCTACAAAGGACAGAAAATTATGGAGAACCATGATCGCCAATCTGCTGAATGGATAAAGCATATAGATGAAGATTGTAAATTTAATACGTTAGTGAATGTGGATATTGTAAGAATGTATATAATTGCATATCATGAGGATATGAGGATATAACAGTTAACACTGTAACATTATATACATTATTCGGACTATTGTCATCATCTTTTTTTCAACATTGCACCAGTTCGCAGTATGAACCAATAATTAACTTACAAAACGGAATTTCTCAGTGTATGAGTCATGTCGGGTTGTATCTGTGAAGGTTTGTTTGTTTGGTTTTGTTTGGCGGCATATCAACCTCAATGGGTTATTCAATGACGACAAAATTTTTATTGCTGCTAATTTTTTTTTTTTAATGTATTGTTGGTAGTGTTTTTTTTTTCTTTAAAAATCTATTGCAGATTTTTTTTTTTCAAAAATTCAATGCAGGTAATATTTAAAAAAATATGTAGCTATAATATTTTTCCAAAAATGTATATTAATATTTTTCCAAAGAAATGTATTGCTGTAATATATTTTTCCAAAAAAATGCTATAAAAAAACCTTTAAAAACGTATTGCTGGTAATAATTTTTTCTTTAAAAAAGCATTGCTGGTAATAATTTTTCCTCCAATTTTGTATTGCCGATAATAATTTTTCCTTCAAAACTATATTGCAGGTAATAACGCTTACTTCAAAAATATATTGCTGGTAATTATTCTTTCTTCAAAAATGTATAGTGGTAATAATTTTTTGCTACAAAAATGCATTGCTGGTAATAATTTTACCTTCAATTTTTTATCGCCGATAATAATTTTTCCTTCAAAACTCTATTGCAGGTAATTACACTTACTTCAAAAATATATTGCTGGTAATAATTTTTTCTTTAAAAATGTATTGCTGGTAATAATTTTTCCTTCAATTTTTTATCGCCGATAATAATTTTTCCTTCAAAACTATATTGCAGGTAAAAATTCTTTCTTCAAAAATATATTGCTGGTAATTATTTTTTCTTCAAAAATGTATTGCTGGCAATAGTTTTTCCTCAACAATGTATTGCTGTTAATAATTTCTCCTTTATAAAAGTATTGCTGGTAAAAAAACTTTCTCGAAAATGTATTTTTGGTAATAATTTTCCCCCAAAAATGTATTACTGATATTAATACCTATTTTAACACCTCCACAGTGATTAACAGGTGCTACTAGCGTGGTTAAGGGTGGACCTAGGAACATCAGAAATTAAGATGGTTCCGTGCTCCTCAAGACATTCTGATTAGAATCCCTGCCGTTGGACGTAGTTTATCATCTTCCCAGGACGCGGATGTAGTTTATCGTCTTACCGAGGACGGTATGAAGATCTGAACTGGTAGAACCAAGGAACAACTGATATGAAAATAGTGACAGAGTAATAATGGACTAGGAACGTTTGTGGGAAAGGAGTTTAAGGCTGAATAACTATATATCAGCCACAAGGCTGCGCATACAATTTTGAATTCGGTCGAGGCTGGAAAATGAGGAATTGGAAGCTCCGGCCCTGATATGGCAGTGATACTCCTTTTTTGGTCAGATCTAGCTATTGTAAATATACAACATTTCAGGAGTTAATTCATTTCTGGAGCGTCACAAGGAATCGACAGTTTTTGCAGCATTCTTAGTCATTGGTCATATATATGTTCCTCTCCTGATATGAAGTGGAAAGACTATATTGTATCTATTGAGTGGTCAGCTGCTAAGAAAGTAGGTTCACGATGTCGTACGAGACGGTTTTTCTCTTCGGGATATATCTTGCATAGCTATAAGTCTACCATTCGTCCATGCTTAGAATATTGCTGCCACGTATGGTCCGGTGACCCTGCTATTTACCTTGAGCCCCTTGATAAGATCCAGAGAACAATCAGTAATATTATTGGTCCTGATCTGGCAGCTCAGATCCTGTCACTTTTCTACTGCCATAAGTTTGCCCCTCTATGTCTTTCTATAAATGCTTTCATGGTACTGAGCGCTTTGCCTAGAGTTTTTTTTTTTTTTTAATTTAAGCGCAGCACTAGACTGGCGTCGAGATCTCATCAATTTACAGTTAAGCTATGCCGTAAATTCTATGCTGGCAATTTCTTCTCTCGAACCTGTGGAACCCACTTCTGGCTCCATGATTTCCAGACAAATTTAATCTGCAAAAATTTGGATGCAATCTCAATCTCTATCTACTGTCCACCTGATTACTCGCTACACTTTTTTTCTCATGATTATTGCTTCCGTTCCTAATTCTTCCACACCTTGTAACCCCTAGCATTTTAGAGACATTACTGCTTGGATTGGGTGATACTGATTAAAAATAGGGCTGAGTCTTAACCTAACTACGCAGACATTAAAAAATTTAATCCGTTACGTAAGCAGCATGTTTGAAAAAATGGTCAGTTCCCTGTACCGCTCCAGCTCCCTGTACCGCTGTTACCTTGTGCTATTCTATGTGTTTTACAAGAACAAGATTCGACCTATAACGTACTGCTCTCATCTTTGGGCAGTAGCTGCCCAGTCCTCACTTTCAAAATCGTATCTGCGTCCTTGTGGGCGATAAAATATTTTCCACCCTGCAATCTCTCTCTCACAGACAGGATGTGTCCTTGTACAGGTTGAACCTCACTGTAACAGGATAAATAATGAAGGAATAGCATCAGAGAAGATTTTGACTCATCAATCATATATAGAATATATATGATTGATGAACTTAATAGAACTATATAGAACTTAATGCTGGACAAAGATGATCTAGATGAAGTTGCTAAAGTATAGCAGAGAAGGATATTTGAAACTAAAGTGATATGAATCTACTGAATGATGCTGAGTGTACCATAGACGTAGCATGTAAGCAACGAGGCGGTTATCAGGAAAATGGAAACTAGATAATTTCGGAAATTTCTACGAGAGATATATTGAGAAAAGAGGGCTTGGGAAAATTGACACACGCAGGGCATACTGAAGGCAAGAGGGGCAAAGTGAAAGAGAGAGAGAGAGAGAGAGAGAGAGATCGGGTAACCTACCTAATGGCAGTCCTCCTAGGTGGCAGCGAATGCTGGACAATTTCCTCACAGATGAATAAGAGACATAAGGCAACATGAGATGTGGTTCTACAGAAGTGTGCTTACAATGACATGAAATGAACATGTGCGTAACGAGGAAGTTTAAAAGCAAATGGAGACAAAAGAACGATTATACTTAAAAAAAAAACAGAAAGAAACTTCAAATTTCTGGGACAAATAATGAGCAAAGAGTGCTTGGAGAATTTGACACGCACAAAACATACTGGAGACAAGATGGTCAGAAGCAAACAGCGTGTAACCCACCTAACAAACATGCGTAAATTGATGGCTAAACAGTGACGCGAGTGATAATAAGATTAAAAAAAGAGTTCCAAAAGATAGGAATTTGCTCGCACGAATCTTGAACCACATGAATAAAATAAGATTTGAGACAGAAAAGCCTTCCGGAATGTGAACCGTTTACGTTGGAATTTCCAACAAATTTGTAGTGAACTCAGGTATGTAAACACAAGGACAATAGTTTGTTAAGTATTGACCGACATTCGGCGCCACCTGTATGAATATCGCTCACATGTAGAGTGTGAAAAATGGCGTTGCTTCTCGATGAATTTGGGTGGGGAACTTGAAAAGTGAAGTTACAGGTGGGAAATGATCTTATGGAAAAGAAAAGATGCATTGTGCCCCGAACCAGAAAGTGAGATAGTGTCGATGTTCACTCAACCGTGATGTCATTGGGAGGAGAAAATAAAATAATGTACGCCATTAAATTCCTATATCGAAAATTCATCCCGTCATCAACATTGTTTAGTGTGACATTTTTTTTCTCGAAATACTTATTAAGATTAAATAGTGTAAGTTACGCGTACAAGAAATCATTGAAAATAAACCAAACGCATGCATACGATAGTGTTTATCAAAATGATTTAAAAATATAGAATTATACAAACATAAAATAGAATATATATTTGTCTGTCTATCTGTTTATCTATCTGACTTTTCAGTTATGTCCATATTACTCTATCTCATTCGTATCTATCTATCTATCTATCTATCTATCTATCTATCTTCATATATATATGTATTTAGGCTTCATTGAACATTTATTAATGTTTTTATTAAACTCATTAAGAAAGGCACAGTAGATTTTTCACTTCTTTTATTTTCTCAAGTACTTTCAATCACATCCAAAATCATCTTCAGGGTTGAATTGCTAAGACAAAAATAAACAATGTAATTGAAAGTTGTGTGTAATTGCACTTTAAGCTCGCATTTTTAATTAAAAAAATTAAGGTAGCGGGAGGTCACTTAATTTATATTTGAAATTTTTTTTTTTTTAAATTACAATTTAAGCATTTTCAAACATTGCTTTTATAATTGTAATTAAAATAATAACACACTTTATGTAATTTAAAATCTTGCTGCTTTAGACATTTAAAACATTGCTATACTGCTATATGGTGGTTGTATTTTTCTCATATAGAGGGAAGTTTTGATTTTTATTTTCATGGCGGGGTATACTTGTATTGTCAATTAATATTATTCTAAGGAATGTTCCTTTAAATGTTGTGCAATAGAGATTGAATCTGACAGATCTAATGTAAGTCTCCTCGATAATTTTGTCAATAATATATATTTACATCTTTGTCAGAGATAGAATCTCCCAAATTATATTTAAATTGATATACAATGTTGCTCTTTTGCAAAACATTAGCTGACGGAAAAGTGGTATTGACGATGATTACTTCTGTCGTATTAAATTTAGTATAGTATATAATTAATTTCGTTTCATTGGAGAAGAGAACATTTAGTAAAAAAAACAAAAAAAAACAGGTGAGTCACTTTTATCGAACAGCACTATCTATCTATCTATCTATCTATCTATCTATCTATATATATATATATATATATATAAGCGCTGTACTAGACTGGCGTCGAGGTATAATTTACATTTGATTTGGCTAGATGTAACCGTAAGTTCTATGCTAACAGTTTCTTTTAAAATTTCCGCTTGTGGAACTCTCTTCCGGCTCCATCTTTTCCAGCCAACTTTAATCTGCAAATATTTAAAAGCAATGTGAATCGCTATCTACTGTCCTATTGGTTACTTGTCCTTTGTTCTCGCTCATTAGTGATGTTTCTATTTTAATTATTTCACACCCAGTAACCTCTTCTGTGTCTTAATGTATTTACTGCCTTGTTTGGGGTGAACTCGATTATTATATATATATATATATATATATATATATATATATATATATATATATTATATATATATATTTCAGTATTTTTTATATTATAATTTCAGTTATATAGTTTATCAATATGCTGTAAGATTTTCTCATCTTTTTTTTTCATTTTTATGCTAATTTGTCGTTATTAATTCATGCGAAAATTGGGATGCTTCTATTACTGTAGTTAGGTTGATTGTTTACTTTTGTGTGTGTATGTGTTTTAAAATGACCTAAAATTCGTTGTTAAATGAGGCAATGAATGGCTTATTAATTTGAACGTCCCAAAAAGAAGACTACGTTCTTTTAATCAACTAGAAAACAATTTTTTACCTTCCATCAGCATGGCTGATGCTGCTAGCTGGCATCAAAAGTGGACTAACGTTTTCAGATGACATGAAATGGAACCAGTATATGGACAAAGTATGCATCTAAGCAAGTTGGTTCACTATGTCATGTAAGAATTTTTTTCTCTCCAAAATCTATCATATGTTTATAAGTTTGTCATTCGTTCTTGCTTTGAATATTGCTGCCACATCTGGTCTGATGCTCCTTCTATATATTTAGAGATTCTTGATAAAATCTAAAGAATCTACAATATTATTGGGCCTGACCTGGTATTTCGGCTTCGGCCCCTTTCACACCTAGCTTTCCCGTGTCTTTGTACAAATACTATCAAGGTAATTGTTCTGATGAACTTTCCTCTATGGTAGCTAGACGTTATGAATTTAAGCACAGTAGATAGACAGTCCATTACGAGCTACAAAAGACAAGAAGTTATGGCAAGTCACCATCTATTACGTTCTAAGGAGACATGGCATATAAGAAAACTAAATTTGCGAGGTCTCATCATTTTATAGTTGAAATGACTAGTCCACCGGCTGGATTTTTGATTTTTGGTTAATTTCAGTTATATAGTTTATCAATATGCTGTAAGAAGGATAAAATCTCAATAGAGTGATATTACAAACGACACATCGTTGGAAACTATTAAAAGTAGAATGTCATAGAAAAGTATAAAAATAAGTTAGAATATTTATCAATAAATAAGAAAGAGACAACAACTGGTTTGACACGCGAAAATTAAAAAAAAAGATGAAAAGGCAAGAAAAAGTGGATTGTTTAATAATAAAATATTTGAAAAAGATTGTGTCATGAATGTAAATAGATAGAAAAGATACAGATAATGAGAACATTGGTTAAAAAAAGGAAGGTGACAAAACAAACAGCTTCATGTGAATATCACAAAGAGAAAGATACAAGTTGGGCGTAGAAATACATGAAAATCGATGTCTGATTGTAATAAGAAAATGTTCGGTTTGCTGCTAAGAAATGTGGTTCACTTTGACATGTTAGATACTTTTTCTCGACGGAATCTATCCAACATATTTATAAGTTCATGTTTTGAAGATTGCTGTCACATATGATCTGGTGTTCTTGTTATATCTTGATGAAATCCACAGAATAATCTGAAAACGTCATTAGTCATGAACTTGCATCTTGGCTACAATCACTTTCCCACCAACGTAATGTAGTTTACCTCCGCCTTTTCTATAAATACTTTCATAGCAATGGCTATACTGAATTTTCCTCTATGGTACCTAGAATTTATGAATTTAAATGCAGTACTAGATTGGCGGCAAGGTCTCATCCTGTTTACATTTGAAATGACGATATTTCTTTTAAGCATTTCACTCCAATCAAGGCGGTAGGGCCACTAGTACACAAGGGTCTCCAGAGAGTTTAATTAATGGAAAAGACTTGGTATAGGGGGTGTTGAGAAAATGATAAAAAGAAGAACGAAGGAGGATAAAAAAGAATTATAGTTATCGGGAAAGCAAGTAAGGGGAAGGGAGTTCCACTGTTGGGAAGTGCAAAAGAAGAAGCTGTTGGAGTAGAAGATGCGGTTACATTTAACTGTTTCGACAGTAAAAGGGTGGGACCGAGATGACAACCTAGTAGCACGCTTAAATTGATGCAGGCGGGGCATTCATCAGAACAGATGCCATGAAAATATTTATAGCGAAGATAGAGTGAAGCTACATTATGGTATTCTCAATCGCTCACCTATCTAGGTACTGACGTTGCTAAACTTCAGTGATCGTAAGTGATGTGGCTGTAAGCCCCAGTGAGGATCGAACAGACTTAACTGTCTTAATTGTTCTAGCGAGTCAACGGCGAACGTGGTCAACTTGCACTACGTCTAAGGGTTCAAATATAGTGATTTTCTAAGCGAAGTTTAGATGTGGTACAAGGCCGAAATTATGGAGCAACTACTGAGGATCCAACTCACTATTCAGTAGTATTTATTAGGGCGAGACAAGCTTATTAACCACAACAACACGGCGAAGTGCTTACTTTTTAAAGTCGTATGAGACAGAAATGAGAAACTTTAAACATAAATGTATTTTCGTGTATTCAGATTTTGCGGATTCGTTTATTGCCAACATATCTAAAAATAAATATGCATGAGAAACTTAGAAATCCACCACAGATGTCATCCAACTCATAGATGTGTCTCTTTTAAGATGCCTTTGCAAAATCATTAAAGGTGTTTTGGAGAGATAGAAACAGGACCGGGAAATTACTAAGATGAGCAAAATTTAGAAAGCTTAGTGTAAACAGACAAGCGTATGCAGTTCACAGGCCATATCCTGCAACAATCTGACAGTCGGCTAGCCAAAATTGCTCATAACAGGATACCTCGAGGCTGGAAAAGACCACGGGTCGTTCTAAAATGACATCGGGAATTACAGTTGAAGAACACAAGCTGGTTCTAGGCACCTCGATTTAGCCAAGATCGATTTAAGTGGAGCAAAATTGTGACCCTTAGCTATGCGATGGCTGGACGAACAATGTATCGAGATAGATAAAACAAAGTTTAAAAGACACCCAATTAACAGATAGGATGACAGGATATACAGATATTAATTCAATAGAAGACACGTGATTCATCGTTAAAACAGATATTTAGGTGAATGGAATACAATATCCAAGATTTCTGGGAATAAAAAAACTGCTGCAAAAATGTTCAAGACAAAAAGTAGATAGCAAAATCAATGGTTGAAAGATTGATTTAGGATATAGAATGACATGAAACCGATATTAACATGTAAAATAATAAAGAATAATTATGATGGAAACACTGATTTCTATAATAAAGTCTTGACTGTAGATTCAGTGTAACTATGTAAGGGCTGCTTAGCTCCTTGATAAAATTATCATTCTTTGTTAAGTTTCGACGAAAGTGTCTAGGTTTCATAATAATAAGCGCAGATTAACTGTGGCATAAGGCCGAACTAAGGGACACCCAGTGTGGATCGTACCCAGTCTTCAGTCGTAGTTGATCTAACGAGACAAACTTACTGACCATTGCACCTCGGCGAAGTGTTCAAATGATTTTCTGAGCTTAGCATAGATGCAGCACAAAGCCGAAAGTATGGCGTACTCAATGAGGATCGAACTCACAAATTCAGCGAGACAAGCTTGCTAACACTTACACATCATCGAAGTGCCTTTTATTCACTAAGCGTAGCTTAGTTACGATACAAAGTCGAAAGTATGAGGCACTCTGTGCGGATCGAACTCACTACTCAGTTGTAAATGACCGAACGAAACAAGTTTGCTAACCATTACACCACGTCGGAGAGTCATTTATTTAATAAGCGTAGTTCTAAAGTATGGAGGACTTTGTGTGGATCGAACTCACTAATCCGTCATAATTGATATAGAGAGACAAGCTTGTTAACCATTACACCATAATTCTTGTAGTGGCTGCTGTGTTTGAATTCATCAGAATATTACTAAATATAATATCTGCTTAATGGATTTGGAAAGTTTATCAGTTGAAGTCTTGTGATTAAACAAATGAATGACACGTCTTTGTGATACTTTGAAAGAAAAAAATAAGCGCGGCTTTGAAATTTGACCTTGCTTTGGTAGGTTTCTTGGGAATTATCAAAGACTTTGTCTTAACGGCTATATCTGTCGACTACATATTTAAAAAAAAAACAAACTTGTTTGATAAAATATACAAATTATGTAATTAGTTAATTAAATCGCCCACGTAATAAAAAAAAAACAACGCTTCAAGAAGTTTTAATGTGTTACTACCATTTTAATTAACATTTCTGTATCTGATATGAAGATATGAATTCCGTTCTTTACCTGACTTGAAACGGCGCAGGAGACGAGGTCCGTTCTATTTCTTTTTAGTTTTCTCTAATTCAAATTCTGACAAAAATAATTGTAATCTTTACGGCTTTTATTATTTGCATTTAACGTAGTGTTATTCATACGTTTCAAATGCACGTATGCAATTTTCTTTCGCCATTTACTTTCATCAGCCATTGTCGCTACATTACTCCGACCATTAGAACAAACGTTGTATTATTCTATTCTGATGTATTATTCTTTGCGTGAAATACCACGACTACTAATATGACTGTTGCTGACACAACCAATAAGAGAATTAACAAAATAATGAACTTCATTTCTTAATGAAGAAGAGGAGGTGATTGTGAGCGGTCAAACTTCTAAAGATATTTAAACGCAAATGTTTTGTTTATAGTCAATGCCAGTTAACTGAGAATAGATTATAATATATATGATGCAGAACATAGATCTCTATCACTTCGGAGGTTTACTTGTTTTCAGTATATCTTTCTTTCTTTCATTTATTCTTCCATTCTTTCTTTCTTTTTTCTTTCTTTCTTTCTTTTCTCCAGTTGTTTCATTCCTTTCATTATATCTAGTTCTCAGTATATTTTTCTTTCTTTCTTTCTTTCTTTCTTTCTTTCTTTCTTCAATTGTCTACTTCATTTCATTCTATCTTGTAGGTATTTCTTTCTTGTTTTCTTTCTTTCGTTCTGTCTGTCTGTCTCTCTGTCTGTCTCTCTCTATCTGCCGCTTTTTCATTCATTCTTCAGTTGTCTCCTTCAACTCAGTATATTTTTCGTTCTTTGATTCATTATTTCTTTTTCCATTTCACTCCTTCATTTCATTATATCAAGTTTCCATTCTTTCTTGTTTTCTTTTTTCCCTTGTCTCCTTTACTTCATTATACTTTCTTTTTTTCTTTTTTCCTTTTTCAATTCTCTCCTTCATATATTGTTTTCTTCTTTTTTCTTTCTTTCTCTCTCTCTCGCTCTCTCTCTCTCTCTCTCTATATATATATATATATATATATATATATATATATATATATATATATATATATATATTCACAATAAAGGTCAGTCGGCATAAAAGTAGTTAATGTAGAATTGGTCATCCTTCTAGAAAAGAAGGGTTAATTCTCGTGCAGATTGGTGGGGAGAGAGAGAGAGAGAGAGAGAGAGGTTCTTGTTTATGTATATGAAGTAGTAGACATGACTTGTTTTGAATCATCTCAATAACTTTTTGATATATTTCTCACTGAAGATTTTAACGAAATTTTGAAACATGAAAAACGGCGCGCTAGATAAATTAACAGCACGTTATCTCGCAATGTAATATAGATATGCATATACTCAGCATAAATGTCTGTAGACACAACGTTAAAGTACAAAGTCGTTTTTTCTGTCTTTTCTCACTTGTTTTCTTCATTTCATTACTAACTCATTCTTTCGTTATTTTTTCAATTATCTCCCTCCTTTTTTTGTATATTGGTGTCAGTATATCTTTCTTTCTTTCTTTCTTTCTTTTTCTGCTTAGTTGTCGCTTTTTTTCTCCTCAATTTCCTTATACCTTATTCTCCCAGTCTTTATTTCTGTCTTTCAACAATTTTTGGACTATTCATCTCATTCTATTTGTTGCTTTAATCATTGATCTAACATTACGGTCGTTTTATTTAATAGGATCGAATAATGGATGGCCTAGTTTTTCTTCTAGTGCAAAATAGATCTTTATTTGCCATTACATAATAACAACAAACGGTACATGGTCAGTCATATGCTGAAAAGTTTGTATGGTACACAGAATAGATGACTTAAAATAATAACAAATCAACTTAACATTGTAAGTAATGCTTGAGCAGCTCAAACTAGTCACGTATCCATAGCTATTTCCGTAGATGTCAAGGTATTCTTCTGAAAAGCCCCCTTTTCATATTATGAGATGTTTCTGTCTGGTGAAGAGATCCCAAAATCAAGAAGCATATGGTCAACATTTGTCTTGCATCGTTTAAAGTTGGATGCGGTGACATGTGTATTTATCTGCAGGAAAATATACACTCGATGCTTCCGGAAAATAATGGCTCACAAATGTCGGTAAACACTCTGAACATAATAAGTCATCATGGCAAATGTTACATCCGTGAATGAGATATAAGCGATGCGATATTTTATTTGTGGGGTTATCACGAATCTTTTTTTTTTCCTAAGAAAAAGCTTAACACCCTCTTGAAAATACACTGCATAAATTCGCAATTGTTAATATACATTTCCTTTCAGTTTTCTCTGCCTTCAATAATGCTCATTACTTATTGCAAGGCACGTATCTCCGAGCAGATATCATGATCATTTCTACCTTTATATATGATCAGCTATTACAGATTTATTTCTCCCGTTTTGGTCACAATTCCTCGAGGCTGGTAACAACAGATTGAAATAACATCTGAAATAGAAAATAATTTTAAAGTGTGAAATGGACCGGACAAATTCCACCTCTTGTCGAACATGTTGACATCTTTGAGGAATCTACATTCATTGATGCCGTGGATTTAGTGGCAATTAATTTCTACGGTGTAGACCTACTAGCCCCACGACGTTTTGAATTCAGACTTTTCCTTCTCCTTGACTGACTGCCAACCAAAGCTAGAGGGCCTAATCTTCGTTGTTATTTAATCCATAGCTGGTGACGTGAAATACAAAATGGAGTCATGCCTTTCTCAGAAGGACCAGTGAGATGTTGAACGCAATTGCCTCGTAGAATATGACCTCAGATTGTTGGTTCCAAGTAGCGCAAAAATAATGAATCCAATAATGCGAACAATGTTTGGAATGTTAATGCTTCTGAAAATTACAGAAGCATTTCTTATATTGCAAATGGAGTGACTGACATTGAAAAAAAATTAAGGTTGTTTCTGTGAAAATTAAAAGTTAATATATATTTAATAAATCCGACCCTCACTATTTTACTAATGACTGTAGAGTGTCTTTTTCTTCTCCAATTTCCTCAAAATGTGACATAACTACATAGATCTTACTTTTTCTCCGATCTATCATTTTTCTATCCTATCTATCTATCTTTCTTTCTTTCTTTCTTTGTCTTCTTCTTGAGGTTATTATATCTAGTTCTCAATATTTCTTTCTTTCCATCTCTTTTTCTTTATTTTTCAGTTATTTTCTTAATTTCATTATACCTTCTCAATATTTCTTTCTTTCTTTCTTTTCTTTCTTTCTTTCTTTCTTTCTTTCTTTCTTTCTTTCTTTCTTTTGTTGTCTCCTTGAGGTTATTATATCTAGTTCTCAATATTTCTTTCTTTCCATCTCTTTTTCTTTCTTTTATCAGTTATCTTCTTATGTTCATTATACCTTCTCATTATTTCTTTCTTTTCTTTCATTTTTTTCCTTTTTATTCTTTCTTTCTTCAATTGCCAACTTAATTTCCTTATATATTGTTTTCAGTATTTCTTACTTGCTTTCTGTTTTTTTTTTCTTTCTTCAGTTATCTTCCTTTCATTATACCTACTTCTCACTATTTCTTTCTTTCCCTTTCTCCTTCAGTTCCTTATATAATATTCTCACTATTTCTTTCTTTTTCTTTGTTTATTTATGTCGGGCGTTCCTTTGTCATCATTTTACAGTTTTCTTCATAATAAAAGAAAGCAGATGCAAAATCATAGATGACTGTTTATTCTACGAAAATTAAAAGTGAATTCATGTTTAATAAATACTGTTATCACTATTAATGACTGGAGACTGTCTCCTGTTTCTTCTTTCCTTTCTCCTCTTCTTCTTTTCTTTCTCTTCTTCTTTTCTTTCTCCTCTTTTTCTTTTCTTTCTTCTTCTTCTTTTTTTTTTCTTTTCTTTCTCTTGTTCTTTTCTTTGTCCTCTTCTTTTCTTTCTCCTCTTTCTTTTCTTCTTCTTCTTCTTCTTCTTCTTTTCTTCTTCTTCTTCTTTTGTTTGTTCTTCTTCTTTCTCTTCTTTTTCTTTCTTCTTCTTTTCTTCTTCTTTTTCTTCTTTTTCTTCTTCTTTCTTCTTCTTTTTCTTTCTTCTTCTTTTCTTCTTCTTCTTCTTTTCTTTCTTTTCTTCTTCTTTTTCTTTCTCCTTCTTCTTTTCTTTCTTTGTTTTTTTCTTTTTCTTCTTCTTCTTCTTTCTTCTTCTTCTTTCTTCTTCTTCTTCTTTTCTTTCTCTTCTTCTTCTTCTTCTTTCTCTTTTTTCTTCTTCTTCTTCTTCTTCTTCTTTGTTTTTTTTTCTTTCTTCTTTTCTTTCTCCCCTTCTTCATTTCTTTCTCCTCTTCTTCTTTTCTTTCTCTTCTTCTTTTCTTTCTCCTCTTCTTCTTTTCTTTCTCTTCTTCTTCTTTTCTTTCTCCGCTTGTTTTTTTTTCTTTCCCTTCTTCTTTTCTTTCTCCCCTTCTTCTTTTCTTTCTCTTGTTTTTTTCTTTCTCTTCTTCTTTTTCTTCTTCTTCTTCTTCTTCTTCTTCTTTTCTCTTCTTCTTTTCTTTCTTCTTCTTCTTTTCTTCTTCTTCTTCTTTCTCCGCTTGTTTTTTTTTTTTCTTCTTCTTCTTCTTTCTTCTTCTTTTCTTCTTCTTCTTCTTCTTTTCTTTCTTCTTCTTTCTTCTTCTTCTTCTTCTTCTTTCTTCTTTTCTTCTTCTTCTTCTTCTTTTTCTTCTTCATCTTGTCTTTCTTCTTTTTTTTTTCCTTCTTCTTTTCTTTCTTCTTCTTCTTTCTCTTCTTTTTTCTTTCTTCTTCTTTTCTTTCTTCTTCATTTCTTTCTTCTTCTTCTTCTTCTTCTTCATCATTTTCTTCTCCTCTTTCTTCTTCTTTCTTTCTTCTTCTTTTTCTTTCTCCTTCTTTTTTCTTCTTCTTCTTTCTTCTTCTTTCTTTCTTCTTCTTTTCTTTCTTCTTCTTCTTCTTTCTTCTTCTTCTTTTCTTCTCTCTTCTTTTCTTTCTTCTTCTTCTTCTTCTTTCTTCTTCTTTTCTTCTTCTTCTTCTTTTTCTTTCTTTTCTTCTTTCTTCTTCTTCTTCTTTCTTCTTTTGTCATTTAATATATCCTGTGAATGTCAGTTTGTCCAATCCCTCTTTCCTCATTATATGTCCCACAATAAATACAACTAAATATGCTTTCTGTGTCTAAATATAAGTTTACATTTTCGTTAAAACGTTTTTTTTTTCCTCACACTCTTCATCCATACTGAAACAAAGACAAAGGAAATACGCGTAAATAAATAATGGTTGATAATGTTTGATAATGCTTGCAATAAAATTCAGGATATTATTTAGTCTGAACACCTGTTTGAATGATAACGATTCTTTATCAAATTACAGTTAAGTTCTGAAGTTATTTTCTGTCTGAATTTATAGCCGGAACATTTGAATTATTTATATTATTACAGAAACGGCCTATTGTTCTCATATTTAATGTTATCATCGCAACGTTTCGGTCGTTTGGTACTCCGGTCTTCATTAGGTGCTTGTCGTTCTGGGTTATTTTCAGAAATGATTGAAACGAACGGAAATAGAAAAATCTACCTGAAATTAACCATTTATCTAATCTACGGGGTTAGTCATTATGTAAACGGTGTAAATTATGAAGGTTTTTTAATCATTTCACCCCAAGCAAGGCAGTAAAGTCATTAAGACACAAGGGGTAACTGAGTGTGAAATAATAAGAAAAAAATAGAAACATTATTACAGAGCAAGAACAATAGAAGATAAACCACGAAGACAGTAGATAACAATTGGCATTGCATTTAAATTTTTGAAGATCTAAGTTGGTTGAAAAGCATGGAATCAGAGTTTCACACAGCGAGAACTGCGCGAAAAGAAACTGTTAGCATAGAACTTACGCTTAAATATAGCCAATTTAAATTTAAATTGAGGAAACTTTGTCACTAATTTAGTATTGCGCTTAAATTCATAAAATTTAGGTACCATAGCGAAGAATTCATTACCATGATAATATTTACAAAAAAGTCACAGAGAAACCACATTACGGCGGTTGGAAAATGATTGAAGCTGAGGCGACAGATCAGAACCAATAATATTGCAGATTCTTCTTCGGATTCTATCAAGATTATCTAAATATATAGCAGACACACCGGACCATAATTAGCG